TCCTTCCTTCCTTCCTTCCTTCCTTCCTTCCTTCCTTCCTTCCTTCCATCCATCCATCCATCATCCCTTTCCTCCCTTCCTCTCATTGTCCCTTCCTTCCTTCTTTCCTTCTCCCTCCCTGCCTCCCTTCCATAGGAGTGGACAGAACCCAACAGTTTCAACGTCTGCATCACCTCCTACAAGCAGCTCTTCAAAGGCCACCAGGCATTCATGAAGATACGATGGAAGTACCTCATTGTGGATGAGATGCAGCAGATTAAGAACATGACGGAGAAGCACTGGGAAGCCCTTTTCCACCTCCGCAGGTCTGGACCCCACCAAAACCTGCCTTTCCTCCACCCTTTGGAATTCTTAAGCCCTGGTTCTCCTAATGGAGGGTAGGCCATTTGTGACATGCATTGGTTGGAGCCTTGTCTGGCCCAAGAATCCAAATTCGGGTCTCTTTGGGTTGCATTCTCAGAAGAAGCTAGGGCAGGGGTCCTCAAACTTAACACCTTTTAAGACTTGTGGACTTCCAACTCCCAGAATTCCTCCTCCGGTCCTGTTAGCTCAGGAATAATTCCGGGAGTTGAAGTCCACAAGTCTTAAAGCTGTCAGGTTTGAAGACCCTTGAGCTAGGGAATATATACCAGCAATCCTTGACTTACAACCGATCATGTAATGACCGTTCAAAGTTGCACCAGCACTGAACCAAGTAACTTATTACCGTTTCCCGGTCTTCCAATCGTGTCAGCATTCCCCCATGGTCACGTGACCGAAATTCACACGCTTGGCAACTGGCATGTACTTAACGACTGTCGCAGCGATCGTCTGATCCTCTTTTGCGGCCTTCGGACGAACAGAGTCAGTGGACAAGCCAGGTTCAATTCCCAACCGTGTTACTGCAGTGATTCCCTTAACGGCTCCCTCGACAAACGTCTCGCTTAGCAACAGAAATGTAGTCGTCAGCCAAGGACTTTCTTGTGTCGCTGTGTACAGAGAACCTACGCAGAATGGAGCGGGTGGGGGACCTCGAGGAGGTCAGGACTCCGACATGCACCGCCCCCCCTTCCATTCATAAGTCTCTAGCCGTTGGACCCGGTTCCCTCTTCTTCCCCCACAGCCAAGTCACAAAGGTTGGGCGACGCTGGTCTAGGGAACGGTCAGATGAGAGAGGGAGGAGCCCACAGATACTTAACAGTCAGAGCAGAGGTGGTATTCAGCCGGTTCTGATCGGTTCTGCAGAACCGGTAGCGGAAATTTTGAGTAGTTCGGAGAACCGGCAAATCCCGCCTCTTCTCTGCCTCCCATTGAGTCCCAGCTGATCAGCTGGGTCTCCTTTGGTTGCCCTGCCCAGGAGAACAGGGCTGGAAAGCAGGTTAGTGTGGTGGGGAGGGGAATGGGATTTTTCAGTGACCTTCCCCTGCCACGCCCACCAAGCCACGCCCACCAAGCCACGCCCACAGAACCCGTAGTAAAAAAAATTGAATCCCACCACTGAGTCAGAGGAAGAAATTTAGGAAGGACCCTCCCTAATTGTTCGGGCACTTAAAAGTATCCGTGGGAAGCCAGAAATATTTGTGTTAGGTATAGTATATAAATATAATCTAAATATAATAAGGGGAATTGGTATTTAATGTTTATCAAATGCAAGAATTGTACTTGCACAGTATTGGAAAAACAAAAAAATGCCGAGAGAGGAAGGTATAATTAAAAAAAATAATTAGATTGTGCAGAAATAGATAGACTGACATTAAGGTTAAAAAAGGAGGAAGATAACAGAATATTTTCAAATGTGGGATTTATTTTATAAACGGTTGGATAATAAAGGTAGAAATGAGGAGCCGGGAAAACATGATTATGTAAGCAACTGACCCAGACAATACACTGGTTCACAAAGCAGATGTAATATGTTAAATGAAAATGGACAAACAGACTATTTAAACAAAAGGATCCGTTTGGACCTTCCGACTTGCTGTTCATGTAACCTTCCACTAAAGTTGAAGGAAGCCAATTTGGTTGTGGTTTTTTTGTCTGGTTTCTCCGGGAAGGCTGACCCTGTGCTTCCCCCCCCCCCCCTTCAACCCCACCTCTCTTTGTAGTCAGTACCGCTTACTCCTGATCGATACCCCCCTGCACAACACCTTGATGGAATTGTGGACCATGGTGCACTTCCTGATTCCAGGAATCTCCAAAGCTTACCTGGATTTCCCAGTGAAAGCGGCCAACGAGGAGAATCAAGACTACTGCCATAAGCTCGTCATCAGGCTGCACAGGGTGAGTCCCTCAGGCTGGGAGCTGGAATTGGGCCCAAGGCAAGCCTCGCATCCCCTTGGTGAATAGGATTTGATGAAACGTACGTTCGAAACCTAGAAAGCTGACATTAGTGCCCTTTGAGTTGATTTGTTTTTTATTTTTCCTTCCTTCCTTCCTTCCTTCCTTCCTTCCTTCCTTCCTTCCTTCCTTCCTTCCTTCCTTCCTTCCTCTTTCTTTCTTTCTTTCCTCTTCCTCCTTCATTTCTTTCCTTCCTTCCTTCCTTCCTTCCTTCCTTCCTTCCTCCTTCCTTCCTTCCTTCCTTTTTTTTCTCTCTCCCTCCGTTCTTCCCTCCCAATTTTCTTTTCTTTTTTCTCTTTTAGTTAATTTTTAATTAATTTCTATTTTGTTGTTTTAGCCGGACAATGGACATCTGTTTACCCCAAGCCTGTTTAAGCTCGTTCCCTAATGATTGGCTTCCTCCCTCCCTCCTTTGAAAGTTGGTTCCACGCCTCTGCTGCCCTTTCTGCAAGGGGATATTTTCCTTTTGAACTTCTGAATGTTCATCGCCGCTTCCTCCTCCTCCCCCTGCCTCCCTCCCTCCCTTCTTCCACCTCTCCTCCGCAGATGATCCAGCCGTTCATCTTGCGCAGATCGAAAAGGGACGTTGAGAAACAGCTGACGAAGAAGTACGAACACGTGCTCAAGTGCCGGCTTTCCAACAGGCAGAAAATGATGTACGAGGACGTCATTCTCCAGCCCGAGTAGGTGGTTTCTGAGTTGAACATTAAACCAGGAGTCTCCAACCTTGGCAACTTTGGACTTCAACTCCCAGAATTCCTCAGCCAACTTTGCTTTCCGGGGGTTGAAATCCACAAGTCTTAAAGTTGCCAGGTTTTCAGACCCCTGAGGAATTCTGGGAGTTGGAGTCCACAAGCCTTAAAGTTGCCAAGGTTGGAGAGCCCTGCATTAAACCATTAATGACTCATTAATGACTCATTAATGACTCATTAATAATTAACATGATCCCTAGAAAGGGCCGATGCAGGTACTGTTACAACACACAATCATACAGGGTGGTCCTTGACTTAGAACCATTTGTTTAGCGACTCTTTAAAGTTACGATGGCACTGGAAAAAAAATGACTTTTATGGCCGATCCTCACATTCACAAGCCACGTGATCAAAATCTGAGCACTTCCAAATAAAAAGTCGATGGGAGATCCGCTTAATGACCGCATGATTCACTTATCAACTGCAGTGAATGGTTTTAACATCCGTGGTTGTAAAGAAAAAAAAATCGGGCTCATTTAATGACTGCCTTGCTTAGCAGAACGGAAATTCTGGTCCCCGTTGTGCTCGTAAGTCGAGCACTACCTATGATGGAGTCTGCCCGTTATGGCTGTAAGTTCCTGACAGTCCAAAAACCAGGCCATCCAGAGGACTTTTGCAACCTCTCTTGCAGGGGTCCTAAAGAAAACAGCAGTTTATTTTTATTTATTGTATTTATTTATTAGATTTGGGTTGCCGTGGCGACTCAAGGTGGCTTACAACATATAAAACCACAATTTAAAACAATAAACACCACTTACTGTTAAGCGAACCCATGGTTTGCTGTGGAACATTTTTGCTAAAAACTGGAAAAAAAAATACCACTTTCTTGGCAAAGACCTCGTACGTCACAGGTGTTGCAATTGGAGCCAATTGCCAGGCGCCTAAAATGCAGTTAGATGCCACTAGAAGGACGTCCCAAAAGTGCTTTTTTTTTTTCTTCAAGAGGCAACTGGACTTACTTGTTTTTTCTTTGAAGATGTTTCGCTTCTCATCCAAGAAGCTTCTTCAGCTCTGACTGGATGGTGGAGAATGGAAGGATTTTTACCCCTTGCATATCAGCTGGTCATTTGCATCCTTTTAGAGAGGCAATGAGCCACTTGGAGGTTAATCTGTGTCCTCGGAGGACACCCAAGGGGTGCAAATGGCACTGCTGAAAGGACTGTGTTGTAGACTGGAGAGAGATGATGTTGGATCCCTCCCCCTGTTGAGAGGAGGCTACACCATTTCCGACAGATGGCAGTCCAGTCTCTTCTTGAAAGCCTCCAGTGATGAAGCTCCCACAACTTCCGAGGGCAACTTCTGTTCCATGGGTTGATTGTTCCCACTGTCAGAAAATGTCTCCCTTAGTTCCAGTTTGAATCTCTCCTTGGTCAGTTTCCATCCATTGTTCCTTGTCTGGCCTTCAGGTGCTTTGGAAAACAGCTTGACCCCCTCCTCCTCTCTGGGGCATCCCCTCAAATATTGAAAGACTGCTATCCCGTCTCTCCTGGTCCTTCTTGTCTCTAGACTAGCCATGCTGAGTACTTGTAACCATTTATCGTATGTTTTAGCCTCAATTCACTCTTCTAGCTTTCAGCCTCTGATTTCTTCTGCCTCGGCAGGACCCAAGACGCTGTGAAAAGCGGGCACTTTGTCAGCGTTCTTCACGTCTTGATGCAGCTGCAGAAGATCTGCAACCACCCGGATCTGATCAACCCTCGGCTGTGCGGCTCCTCTTACGTCTCGGAGGCATTGCGGTTCTCGACCGCCTCGCTGGCCTTAAAAGCCTTGGAGAGCAACCTGTGGAAGGTAAGCTGAAGGATGGGCTTGCAAGGGGCCCTGTTGGGTGACGAAGAGGGAGCACTTTCCAACTTCTCATTTCTGATTTTACTTTTCTGCCCCAAGGTGTGACCAAGGGCTACACAACGTGTGTGTGAGTGTGTGTGTGTGTGAGAGAGAGAGGGGGGGGGAGAGGGAGAGAGATGAAATGGGCTAACGATAGAAGAGGGAGAATCTTTTCAACTTCCCATTTCTAATTTTATTTTTCTGCCCCAAGGTGTGACCAAGGGCTACACGATTTGTGTGTGTGTGTGAGAGAGAGAGAGAGAGAGAAAGAGAGAGAGGGTGGGAGAGAGGGAGGGAGGGAGAAGGAGAGGCAGAGATGAAATGGACTAACATAGAAAAGGGAGAATCTTTTCAACTTCTCATTTCTAATTTTACTTCTCTGCCCCAAGGTGTGACTAAGGACTCCACAGTGTGTGTGAGAGGGAGACAGAGAAGGAGAAAGGGAGGGAGATATATATGAAATGGAGTAGTATTTTCTTTTCTCTTCCGTTTCTTTGTTTCTTTCTTTCTTTTATATCTCTTTTTCTCTTCTTTTTTCGGTTCGTAAGACCGAGCGTTTTTTTTTCTTTTTTTCTTTTTCTCCCCCTTTTGTATATGTAATGTCAATATGTTTTTAATTGTAAATTCAATAAAATTTATTTAAAAAAAAAAAAAGAAATGGAGTAGTCTTAGAAGAGAATCTTTGTAGCTCAAGATTGAATGGTTGGGTCCTTGTTGCTCTCTGAGCTTGGTGGTTTTCTTGCAGATGTTTCATGACCCAACCAGGTAACACTCTCAGTGCTAAAAGGGGAATGAGCTTTACAGAGTGGAGGAGGAGGAGGAGGAGGAAGAGAAAAGACCGTGGGGTCCTTAAGACCTTTCATTACCAAACTAAGTAATATCATTAGTGCTAAAACGGAGTGAGGTTTGTGGAGGTGATGGGGAAGTCAGAGGTTTCGTGACCCAACGAGGTAGCATCATCAGTGCTAGAAAGGAGTGGGTTTTGCCGAATAGAGGGGGAGGAGACAGGAGGAAGTAGGGGACAACGACTGTGGGGTCCTGGATGCTCTCTGAGCTCGGTGGTTTTCTTACAGCCCTTTCGTGACCCAGCTAGGTAACATCACCAGCCTACTCAATAAAGGGACTGAGTCCAATGATAGCAGGCACCCAGGTACGCTTTCTCCCCTCTTGCCCGTCCTCTAGGTTGCCGACCTGAGTCTCTTTGACCTGATTGGGCTGGAGAAGAAAATGACGTGGTATGAATCCCAGGTGGTGCCCAAGCAAAAAATAACCCGGAAGCTCATCGAAGAGATTTACACCTCTCCCCTGCCGCCTCCTAGGCCTGCTCCCGTCAAGCTGAAGCCCAACAGGTAAAGCGCACACAGCCTTCCGCCACATCGCCGCCCCTCGTTCAGCCGACTGCGATGGGGATCGAACTCTTCTCCCTGTTCCGCTTTGCGTGGCCTGTTGATGCTCGCGATGGAGCGGCGCCGTGGCCTAGAGGCGAAGCTCTCGCCTCACAGTCAGGTGGCTGTGAGTTCGGTCCTAGGTTGAGGCAGCTATTTCTCTTTTTTGCGGGCACAATGAGAATCTTACCTGCCGAACAAAGCTTCGCATTGGCAACAGGAAGGGCGTCCAGCCATTCAAACACTCCACTAGCTCCATTCCATGGCCCAGACTTCAGCCCACAAGGGATGATAAAAGATGATGACAATGACGTTGATGCTCAGAGACTCAAGCGTGGCTCTCAATTTCAGAATGGCGTTTAAGCGTCCGAAGGATGGAAGGAGGAGCTTAAAGCATCTCCAAGGCTGAAGGCACCATGGCCACCCCCTAAATATTTGACCCCCTTCCATCCTAAGGTCATTAAAAAGGATGCTGGAGTGTGTCTTTGGCTCAAGACAAGGGAACCCCCAAATCCTTCTCCTCCTTGAGCAGACAGTTCCTCAATCATCTTCTTCTTTTATATATAAAAGGGAAATACCCCTCACTCATCATCACAAAATCTCCAGAACTGTAAAGCCTACAAACTTGAAATTTGGCACCTATGTTCCTCTTGGCTTCTAGGGGCTCACTAAGAAAGGATTTTTCAAAGTGACCATCAGAGCATTAGTATTTCCTATATTATTATTATTAACACGCTCTGATGCTAAGGAGTTCTACTTTCCCTCCCCACCTGAAAAGAAACCTGTTTCAAATGCAAAACACAAGCAAAGGAGATGAGTTTCAGTTTCAGTTTTAGTCTCACAGCACCAAGCAGCTTTAGTACAGAGCAGTTGAGCTAAGCCACGCCCAGGCTCCTTGCTTACACAGCAAATACTGCTTCGGTTTCCAAACAGCCCTCCCCTCTCACACACTGACAGGACGCTAGCCAGATAAATACCGATGGGTGCTGGTAGGCAGAAGCAGAATTTTTTTTCTCCCTTATTTACCTCCCCAAAAATAATTTCATAGCAAAGCACGGGTACCCTGCTAGTTTTTAAATATGGCTGTCTCTGAAGTACTTTTTTCCTTGTTTTTTTTTTTTTTTTACTTTTAACTCCAAGAGCACTTTGTGGGAAATCATCACAGCACCCAACCGTTGTTTTTTTTTTTTTTTTCTTTTTCCCCCAGATTGTTTCAACCTGTTCAGTACGGACAAAAACCGGAAGGCAAGATGGTGACTTTTCCCAGTGCGCAAGTGCAACGGGCCACCGGTGTGGCTACGGTCGCTCAACAGGCCCAAGTGCGAGGAAGATCTCCCATGACAACGGTATCGGCCAACCCAGGTGAGACAGGTGAACCTTCTCAGGTTTCCTTCCTTGTCGGCAAGGGTGGGGTTGGTTTCCCCTTCATGCTCATCTTCCCTCCCTCCCTCCCTCCCTCCCCGTGACAAACCAGTCCTTGGAATGAAAACCCGCCTTCCTCAACCTGGCACCTTCCCGATGTATTGAGGTGCACCGCAACCATCGCGACCAACCCAGGTTGGAATTCCTGCACCTCCGGATGGAATCAATGTGGAGGAAGCTGAACCCTTTGTCATCCTACGGGAGGCACGGATTGGGTAGATTCCCCCCCCCCCCCCCCTCGATTCTTCTTCTCAAACCAGCGTTTTCAGCTGTGGACCTCGGGCCAGGTTGGGTCTCCAGATGTTGAGTTATCCACTTGGGTGTTTGGATGAAGGACCCCCAGGTCCTTTACGTGACCACCTACCTGGCTTGAGTTGCATTCCAAGGCCGCTCTGTTTTTTTTCTGGATGCACCCTGAGCTGGCACTTGAGGTTCTTGTGTGAACTGCGGACCGATACTTGTGGTTCTTACACCACGTAAGGTGCTCTTCCTGGTTTTTGGTAGGTGTCTTCCTGAGCTTCAAGGCAGGACGATGCTCTTGTTCCATTCATTCCCTTGGCCTGAGACATTTCCGGGGATTTTGTTTCCTTTGTGAAAATCCCGACGCTGCTCATCTTATCTCACCATCAAGTGACCCAAGGCGGATTTCATTTGGATGGATTTCTCTCCGAAGGGTTGGTTTTAAGCTCTACCTCCCCTTCCGTTGTTTTTTTTTCCTTTCAGTTTGAAGCTTCGGAAAGGGAATAAAAAAATGAATGACAGCCAATTGTCAGGGTCTTACTGGAAACGGTCCAGGCAAGCGACTTGGGGCTTAAAATGCTTACCTTCTGCATCCCAAGCGTGGTTTTAAAGAAGTCAGTCCCAGCCTGATCACTAACATGGGCGGGAGGATCTCATTTTGGCTCGTCCTAGGAGAGGCTTGATTGTGCTTCGTTCGAAAATCTGGAACGGAGGCTATCGGAGCATCCAAGCAGGCCTCCTCTTACCTGTGTTTTCATCCTCTTTTTTTCTTTTTTTTTCTTTCTTTTAATGTGTCAGCTTGAGCTGAAAGTGAACATTTCCAACAATATGTTTAGACTCTGTGTTTGCGTGCCTGTCCTTGTGTGTTTTTCTTTGGTCTCAAATCCAGTGAGGGGTTAGGACAACAAAGCTGCTTCCTTCAGGTCACCCCTATTAATTTTATTCGTTTGTTTGTTTGTTTGTTTGTATCCCACCACTGTTATTTTAACAAATAATTCCAGGTGGCAAACGTATACAACACACCTTTTTTCCTCCTCCTCTTTTCCCCACAAGAACAACCCGGTGAGGTGGGGAAACAGAGAGACACAGACAGACAGACAGACAGACAGACAGACACACACAGAGACACAAAGAGAGAGAGAGATAGACAGACAGACAGACAGACACACACACACACACAGACACAAAGATAGAGAGAGATAGACAGAAAGACAGAGACAGGCACACACAGAGAGACAGACACACAGAGACACAAAGATAGAGATAGACAGACAGACAGATACAGACACAGAGAGACACAGATAGAGAGAGACCGACACAGACAGACACACAGAGACACAGAGATAGAGAGAGATAGACAGACAGACACACACAGAGAGACGCAGATAGAGAGAGATAGACAGACACAGACACACAGAGACAGAGACACACACACACAGATGCAGAGATAGACAGAGACACACAGATAGAGACAGACACACACAGAGAGACAGACAGAGGGACTGGCTCAAGGTCACCACCTGGTCTTTTTGCCAAAGAGAGGAACTAGAACTCGAGATCCGCCGCTTTCCAGCCTGGCACCTTAACCAACCTGCCTTTCTTTACGCCACCCCGGCTCTCCTTTGATAAAGTCGGAGAACTTCACGTCGGAAAGCCTTCCAAGCTTTCAGAGCGAAGAGCTAGCAAACCCACCTGGACTCTTCCCCCCACCTCCCCTCCTCCCACTCCGCAGGCAAAGTTGTGTTCCCGTGTGCTTGTGCATAATGTGTTCATTTGTGCGGCCGCCGTGAAGCTGAATTCGAGCATTGAGTCGCTTTTGATTTAAGGCTCCCAAATGCCTCTGGATTTTCCTTGCTTTATTAAAAATTTACTTTAGAAGGCAGACTGCCTGTCCTCAGCCCCCCCCCCCCCCCCCCCCCCCCCCCCCCTCCCCGGTACGTTTAAAACTGTGACTGCTGAAATTTCTCCGTTGCTCTAACCCCTCGAAAGGAAACGAAGGACCGACTCTAACCGCTTACACCCCCTGACCTTATTGATTGCAGCCGCCGTTGCCGTCTCCTCGGCTGCCACCGCAGCGCCACCACAATTGCCGCCTTCCTCCAGTGTTCCTCCACCTCCTCCTCTTCCTCTTCCTCCTCCAAGACATCAGCCAGCAATGACCTTCGCCAACGCAACTAGCCCGGCCCATCCAGTGAAACTGCGGGGCCAGGCTACCGCCCAGGGCCTCCAACTAGGGCAGGCCCAGCCACAGGCCCCCCCACCCACCATCCAACAGAGTGTCCTGCCTCAGAGGCTCGTGTTAACCAGTCAGGCACAGGCTCGGTTACCCAGTAAGTGCCCCTCTGCCCTGCTTCCTTCAGGTTTCTCCAGCTTCCTTCTCTCCTTCTTCTCCTCCTCTTCCTCCCCTCCTCTTCCTCCTCCTCTTTTCCAAAGCTTCCCCGAGGTTAAGTTGTTAGGCACCCTAACAATGTGTGTAAGGATACCTGGATAGATAATAGGAGAGGTATTTGGACAGAGGGCAGGGGTGGGCTTCAAAAAATATTTTTAGCAAGAGGTTCTCTGTCCAGTTGCTGGGTGGGCGTGGCCATGGTGGGCGTGGCCTAGCTGGCCTCCTGCACCGTGGTGTGCTGGGGGGGGGCTGTTTTTGCTTTCCCCGGGCTCCGGAGGCTCTCTGGGAGCTGGAAACAGGCCCGTTTCCGGCCCTCCTGAAGTTCCGGGAGGCCCGTTTTTCGCCCTCCTGGAGCCTCCACGCATACCCTGCACTCCCCTGGCATCCAAAACGGGCCATGGGGAGACTCCGGGGAGGGGTGGGCGGGGCCAGCCAGGAGTGAGGTTTGGGGGATTCTCCGAACTGCACAGAATCTTGGCTAGGGGGCTCCCACGAACGCCCAGCAACCCACCTCTGGACGGGGGCTCCGTTTGCTCCTTCCCTTTCCGTTCTCCTTCCCTTTGGAGTTTGCCTCGCTCACCCTTTCATTTTGCTTATTTGGGGAACAAAATACTTCAGGTTTTTTGTTTTTTAAGTGCAATGTAAGAGCCGCAGTGGCACAGTGGTTAGAGGGCAGGTACTGCAGGCTACTTCGGCTGCCTGCCGGCTGCCTGCAGTTCGAGTCTCAGCAGACTCAAGGTTGACTCAGCCTTCCATCCTCCCCAGGTGGGTAAAATGAGGAGACCCGGATTGTTGGGGGCAAGAGGCTGACTCTGTAAACTGCTTAGAGGGGGCAGTAAAAGCGCTTTTTTGAAGCGGCATATAAGTCCAAGTGCTGTTGCTATTTAGATAAGAAAAAAAAGCGGGGGGGGGGGGACTCTGAAAATTGCTGTGAACACACAGGTGGTCCTTGACTTAAAACCCTTTTGTGAGTGACAGTCCGAAGTTTAACGGCACATTCACAACCCTGGCGGCATCCCCAACCTGGTCACGGGACCAAAATCTCGGCAACTGGCATGTCCTTACGACAGTTGCACTAGCCGAGGGTCGCGTGATCGCCACTTGGTAACCTTTTCGGATGAGCAAACTTGACAGGGGCAGCCTGATTCGCTTAATGACCACGGTGGTTCATTTTAAGCAATGTGCCCCCCCCCCCAAAAAAAAAAAAGCTGCAGAACAGGACGTGACCCACTTTAAGGACTGCCTCGCTTAGCCACGTAAACTTTGGGCTTCGTTGTCGTCGTTAATTTGAGGACTACCTGCACATTTAGCGGTGTCAACTTAATCTCATTCCTGCATGTTTTCTTCTCTTTGGTCAGCCTTCCTTGGAAACTTCTTCTTTTTAAAAAAAAAAATTTGGGAAAGGGAAAAAAAAACATTTCCTCCTCCTAATTTAATTCTTTTTTTCTTTTTTCTTTTTTTTTTTGAGAACACTAACCTCACAGGAAGGAACCGCGTTCTGTAAGGAAGATTGGGAATCTGGGCTAAGAACAGGCTAAGGCAGTCTAATTTCCGATGGTAGACGAACTATTAGCACCTCTGGAGCAATGGGGGGCGAACTCTGGCTCCTTTTGCGACCTGTGGACTTCAACTCCCAGAACTCCTGAGCCAGGAATTCTGGGAGTTGAAGTCCACAGGTCGTAAGGGGCCAAGAGTCAGTCACCCACCCTTGTTCTAGAGACTCTCCAGCACTGTTGTACTAATGTTTTCCCCGGAGGAACCCCACTGCCTTTGTAAAAGTCAAACAAATGGGCCACGCTCAACTCCAAAACTCGAGAGGTTCGATGTTTGGAGGGTTTCCAGACATTTAAAAATCCTGATTTTTTTTTTTTTTTAAAAAATCCTTTGTCCCGAGTTGATTTTACGGAGAAGCTTTTCGCTTCATGTGAACAGAGCCTGAACTTCATGTTCCATTCATTGCAGGGGGACAAACAAACACCCCCCAAAATTGTCACTTCCAACCAACTCCAATTCTTGGTCAGAGGGAGTCTGTGAAAGATACCTTCTCTGCGTTGAAAAATACATTTGCTGAATACGAGTCCTTTGGGCTAAGAGCTGCATGAGCTTACCCGAACCCCTCCCCACGGTAGAAAATTCGTCATTCATTGCTAATTGGACATTTCAAATGAATTGAGGGAATTATATCCTTGGGGATCATCTGCCAATGGAATTCGGAGGTCCGATGAATCTGCTTTGCACTGATCTTCGAGCCCAAAATTTGCAAAGCACTAAAATATATATATATTTAATTGATATATATATATATATATATATATATATATATATATATATATATATATTCTGGTCAGTTATTCTGTGTGCCCCGTGCATCGTTAATTCCTGCCTCTCTTGAGTTGCATTAAGAGTTTGCTTTTGAAAAGGCAGTAGAGGCCCCGACCTTAAGGACTTTTCTTGTCTCTCTTTTCTGAAGTGTCACGTGAGTTTTTTCCAGGTCACGCTTGTTAACCTGTGAAAGTGGAAGGATCGCTGACCTCCGCCTGCCCCGATCACCCCCACCGTTCCGCCTTTAAAGAAACTGAGCCGATGCAATTGGCCCGTCACACACCTGTATCAAAGCTGTACCTGTGGAACTTCTTGGATGACACTTCCCTCCTCCCCTCCCTATCTCCCCTCCCCCTCTCTCTCCTCCCACCTCTGCATTCATTCTCTCCATCTTCTGCATGTGGTTCACGTCCTTCGTTTTACTAACCACCGTGACAGGAAACCAGGGGATGTCTGGGAGAAACCCCCCCGCCTGCCTCGCCCTCTCCTTCTTCACGGGTGCTTCCACCCCTCTTCCCCCAGGTGGTGAAGTGGTCAAAATAGCCTAGCTGGCTTCCATTGCAGGGACACCAGGTCGGATCACGCAGCCGGAGACGCCGGTGACGCTCCAGTTCCAGGGGAACAAATTCACTCTGTCTCACAGCCAACTCCGCCAGCTGACCGCAGGACAGCCTTTACAACTGCAAGGTGAGCAGCTTTGAAGAACACCTGTCGGGGGAGCTTCCCCATCCTCAAGTGTTTTTCTTGGTTGGGGTGGGTGATCCACCCATGTTTCCTGGGAAGTAGTTTGGATTTTGGGTGATCCTGCGGTTGTAGACATTACGGGCAATTGCATCCCTGTTTGGTTTGATGGCAGCAGTGCCTCAGATAGAAAGTCCCTACAGAGAGTAGTGAGGACAGCGGAGATTACAGGAAGCTCACTTTCCCGTTGTTCAGGATACGGCTTATAAGCACCGTTTGCTTAGAGCTCAGAGTATCTTTAGACCCCCCCACTCCATGGTCTGTTTCTGTTGCTCCCCTCTGGGAGGAGATTTCTAGCAGGACTGTCAGATTTTGTGACAACTTTGTTCCCTACGGCATCTGTCTGGTAAATTCACAAGATTCGTTTTTCTTGCCCATGACTGTTTTAGAGCTGTATGCAACGAAATTTCATTTTTAATGTATGCCAATTAGTGTACATTCAAAGTGACAACAAAATTATTCTATTCTGTTCTTATTCTTATCCCTATTCCTATTCTATTCTTATTCTGTTCTATACTTATTCCTATTCTATTCTATTTCTATTCCATTCTATTCTAATTCTTATTCCTCTTCTATTCCTATTCTATTATTCCTATTCCTATATTCTATTCTACTATATTCTATTCCATTCCATTCCATTCCTTCTATTCTATTCTACTCTACTTCCAAATTATCAAGCTAACCCTCCTGGATGATTCCCATTTGGGAGATCCTTGGTGGCCGTCTTTAAGGCCACCCAAGAAATTTGAGGGTTATTTAACTGTTCAAACAATTCTTGATTTACGAGCAAAGCCGAGCCCGAAATTTCTGCTGCTAAGGAAGATAGTTGTTTAAGCAAGTTTTGCTCCATTTTACGATTCTTTTTTTGCCACAGAAGTTTAACCCCTGCAAGTGGTTTAAGTGAATTATGTGGCCTTAGAGTGGATCTGGCTTCCCCCATTGACTTCGCTTGTCGGAATCGGGCTGGGAAAGTCGCCATTAGGTTATTGCATATCCCGGAGATGCTGCAACCATTGCAAATATATGTCAGTTGCCAAGGGCCCAGATTTTGATTGTGTGATGGTAAATTTTTCCTAAAATGAAATGTTAAAAAATCAGTTTAATAGATAACAGATAATCAGAGTTGGAAGGGACCTTGTAGGTCATCTAGTCCAACCCCCTGCCCAAGCAGGAGACCCTACCCTATTTCTGACAGATGGCAGTCCAGTCTCTTCTCGAAAGTCTCAAGTGATGGCGCTCCCACAATTTCCGAGGGCAAGCTGGTTGATCCCACTGTCAGAAAATTCCTCCTTATTTTCAGGTTGAATCTCTCCTTGTTCAGTTTCCATCCATTATTCCTTGTTGGCCTTTGGGTGCTTTGGGAAACAGCTTGACCCCTTCCTTCTCTGTGGCAGCCCCTCAAATATTGGAAGACTGCTCTCCTGTCTCCCCTAGTCCTTCTCTTCCCTAGACCAGCCATGCCCAGTTCCTGCAACAGTTCTTCGTATGTTTGAGCCTCCAGTCCCCTAATCATCCTGGTTGCTCTACTCTGCACTCTTTCTAGAGTCTCAACGTCTTTTTTATAGTCTGGTGACCAAAACTGGATGCAGTACTCTAGGTGTGGTCTTACTAAGGCTTTATAGAGTGATATTAATACCTCACTTGATCTTGACTGTATCCCTCTGTTAATAAAACTTAGGATTCCATTAGCTTTTTTGGCTACTGCTGCACACGGCTGGCTCATATTTAGCTGGTTGTCCACTAAGACTCCAAGATCAGTTACAGTTACCGCTATTAAGCCAGGTTTTAAAAAAATCAGTGGGATGGCCTTACTTCAGTGGGCAGTCAGTCACTTTTCCCTCTTTCAATTTCTACCCTCCAGGCAGTGTCCTGCAAATCGTTTCGGCTCCAGGACCCCAATATCTCCGACCTCAGGGCCCTGTGGTGGTGCAGACGGTGCCCCAGCCTGGGACTGTCCAAAATGCTCTCAACGCACTCGGGAACCAGCATCCGGCGGGGTTGCAGACTTCGGCAGGAGCTCAGCCAGGTAAGCCCCCTAACCACCCCACCTTTGCGTCCACCCGTCTATCTTTACCTATCCCAATTCCTGTATTGCTGTGACTCTCAGCGCATTCACGATAGAACAACGAACCAGAACTATCACTGTGGTCAGAAGCCACTCCAAGTGCAGCCAGCAATGTTTGCAAACCCTAACTGTGACATTCAAACTGTTTTATTCAAATGCCCCATGTAAAGCTTTGGTTCCTAAGGCAGTGCCCATTAGCAAGAAAGTAGCTCTGCAGACTTAGGAGAGATTTCTAAACGCATTTGTTGACCAGTAAGTAGTGAAAGGCAAGGATGCCCTTGATAGCTGGAGCACAGAGTACCGGTAGCCCTTGATGTATGGCCACAATTAAGCCCAACATTTCAGTTGTTAAGTGAGTTTTAGCCCCCTTTTTGCCACAGTTGCTAAGTGAATCACTGCAGTTGTTGAAGTGGAGTGGAGTGGAGTGGAGTGGAGCGGAGCGGAGTGGAATAGAATGGAATAGAGAGTAGAGTAGAGTAGAGTAGAGTAGAGTAGAGTAGAGTAGAGTAGAATAGAATAGAATAGAATAGAATAGAATAGAGGAATGGAATGGAATGGAATGGAATAGAATGGAATAATTAATGGCATGGCATGGCATGGCATGGCATGGCATGGCATGGCATAGCATAGCATAGCATAGCATAGCATAGCATAGAGAGTTGCAAGGAACCTTGGAGGTCTTCTAGTCCAGCCCCCTGCTCAAGCAGGAGATCCTATGCCATTTCAGACAAGTGACTGTCTCTAGACTCTTCTTAAAAACCTCCAGTGATGGAGCACCCACGATTTCTGAAGGCAACTTCTGTTCCACTGGTTAATTGTCCTCCCTGTTTGGAAGTTTCTCCTTAATTCCAGGTTGCTTCTCTCTTTGGTTAATCTCCATCCATTGTTTCTTGCCTTCTTGTGCTTTGGAGAATAGGTTGACCCCCTCTTCTTTGTGGCAGCCCCTCAAATACTGGAAGACTGCTATCCTGTCACCCCTGGTCCTTCTTTTCTCTAGACTAGCCAGACCCAAAACCTGCAGCCGTTCTTCCTATGTTTTAGTCTCCAGGCTTTTGGTGCTCTTAGTTTCTCTTCTCTGAGAGTTACATGTTTTTCACACTCAAGACTATTGAAACCATGAAGGAACATTTTTCAGTGCCGTTTAACTTTGGATGGCCACTAAAGGAACTGTTGTCAATGGAGAATGAGCTGTATGAATGCTACCGTCAGGATTCCAGCACTTAACCCTATTTAAATCATGAGTCTCAAGTCAGACTCCCAAAACGTAACGTGTCCGGCACTGCCTGGGTGCAGCCGACTCTGAGACACATCTTTCATTTTCACCCTTGACCTTGGTTTTCCCTCCACCCGCTGGGTTTATCATAATTCATATTCTCCAATGGGACACATCCATAGCCCAGAGTCATCAATCACGCTCTCCAGTTAGAATTTTGCTCGGCAGAAACTTCGGTCACCTAGTTACTATCTTCGAAAACATTGATGGAATGCAGTTTTGGTTTTGCAAGCTGCTGCACTGCTCCCCTCTCCCTTTCTGTTGGCAACTCTTAAAAAGACCATAGGAATATTTGATGAGTTGACAGCTACACGTGACCTCCACAGTTGGATTCAGAGTGCGAAGCCATTTATAAGAGGATGCTTGAGCCGTATAAACCTGTGATTTATGTTCTAAGTTTGTGTTTCCAGGAAGAACCATGGGTGCTAATTTAGCATCAGGAGACTCTGCTTCTTCCCTGAAATCCAGCATTCATGGTGGTTACTCACAGGTACGGCAACTTATTTTGCATTTGCGAACCATTAAGACCTCAAAATTAACGTCTTTTTCACTGCAACATGTTGCAGTCGCGTAGTTTCAATGGCCAGGTCACCATATTTTTATTTTTTTCTAGTTCTTTCTCTTCGACTCTGGCGTCTCCTGGTACAGTGATTTCAGTAAATTGTATGCTTTGGTTTTCAACAACTGTGAGATATGGCGTGTTGTGTTCCAAATGACAATCCGTTTGCCTTCAATGTTGTTATTGTTTTTTGTTACTATTGTTTATATCTTATTCATTAAACATGAAACTCAGTCAACTGAACATTTCAATAATTTATTATTATTAGAAACTTTTATTCATTACAAATGAAACTCAGTCAACTGAATATTTAAAAATGTTATTATTATTGTTATTAGTGTTATTAGTATTCATCGCACAGTCAGCCAGGTGTTCAGACTGGGTTTGGCATTTTTGTCTACCTATCGAGTCCTACCAAGGACCTGGGACAGGCAAATCTGGATGTTTGATGGTGTTAGAGATTCACCGCAGGATGGAAGCTGTTCCATGTAAAGCTGCCTTCTGCAATTGACTGATGGCAAAGTTGTCAATGCCACTGATGGTGTTCAAGTGGTGCTCCAGTTGCTGCTGCTGTTATTATTATTATTTTTATTGAGCAAGCAATATAGAAAACACTATGAAGGATCTTCCTCCCATTGAAAATGGGAGGGAGGATCAATGCAATCATAATCACTGAAAACCCAAAACGTGATTTTCCTCTAGGATTGGAAACCTGCACCTGGTCATAGAAGGTCGCCTGAGATACCCTTATTTGGATTTTTTTTTTTAAAAAAAAGTTTGCAATTAAAATTTAGCATCATACCAGCAGGCAGCTGTAGAACTTTTATCTTTCTAATATTAGAGAAATCATGATCTCCGCAACCGCTCTGGGTGTTCTTGTTTCTGTCTTCTACAAAGGAGTCATTCGAGGAGAAAAACAGGCTTCTGAAGGAGCGCTTGGACCGGATCTTTTCTTGCAATGAACGGCGTTGCTCTCGAGCTCCCGTCTACGGCAAGGACCTTCGTAGGATTTGCTCCCTGGTGGGCAACCCCAACACAGCGCCTCAGTTCTCCGCCAGGACCAGCAAATGGAGCTGGGCTGGCTTTGTAAACTGCGGCCTCTCCAAAGATCATCCAGACCCTCTCAGAGGGTTGGCCTGGCAGCTCCAACAGCAGCAGCAGTCCTTGAGGGACACCATCAACAGGTGATGCTCCTTCCTTGGCTCCTTCCTTCCTCCTAACAATTCTGCTTTTATCGAAGGGCATTCGTGGAATTGTGTAAAAGCCCAGGGGGGTTGTCTCGTTCAGGGGTCTCCCACCCTTGGCAACTTCTAAGACTGGTGAGCTTCAACTCCCAGAAAAGGCCACACGTCTTAAAAGTTGCCACGGGTGAAGCCTCCCCCCTGATCTAGTTAACCTTTATGGGCTCGAGGTAACTAATTTGAGCCTCAGATGATCGTAGTTGGGAGGCTGGGTATATTTTCCCCCCATTCTTTGCTACTAAAGAGCTGAGTATTTCTTGGCCATCCTTACAATTGTAAGGTACTGAAAATGCACCTGCTCCTTCAGCCGAGGGAGCGGGGAGAGCACCAAAGTCTCCACCATCCTTCCCTTTCTCTTCTCTTTCTCCTCTCTTTCTCCTTCTCCTCCTTCACCCTTATCTCCTTCCCTTCCTCCTCCGCCCTCTGCAAATCCCAAGCCTAGTTGGGTAATGAATCCTAGTTGGATTCCTAGTTGGGTAATGAAACATCAGAAAGTCAATCTCAGAGAGCATCAAGGACTCCATAGTCGTCGTCGTCCTCCTCCTCCTCCTCCTCCTCCTCCTCCTCCTCCCCTTCTTCTTCTTCTTCTTCTTCTTCTTCTTCTTCTTCTTCTTCTTCTCCTTCTCCTTCTTCTTCTCCCCCTCCTTCTCCTTTTTCTTCCTCCTCCTCCTCCTGAATTAGGATTATAAATTGACAGACTCCGGAAGGCTTGGTCAAAGGGCCATTTCCCCACCCACCCCAAGGTTGAAAGGTTCTGAAATCAGGCGGGCGACAAGATGGCCCTCCCAGGAACATTTGCCACGGTTCTTCTGCTCTGTTTCCAAAGGGCGCTCTGCGTGTTGCCTGCCGCTGTGGCCGCTCCTTCGTCTTTGCACGTGGCGAGGCTTCCCGCTGCTTACAGCCATCGGATGAAACTCCTCCGGCACAACCTGAAGGACAAGGTGTTGCCTTACCTGAACCAGCTGCGTCAGCTGACGGTGCCCCGGCTGCTGCTCCCCTTTCCTGACCTCCGTCTGATCCAGTACGATGCAGGTAGAGGAAACCCCTTGATGTGCACCTGTCCGTCACCTGGCGAGGGCTTCCTGCTCCCGGCTCTCATCCTTCGCCTTGCATTGCAGGGAAGCTGGAAGCCCTGGCGGTCTTGCTGCAGAAGCTGAAGTCGGAAGGCCGAAGGGTGCTGATCTTGTCCCAGATGATGCTCATGTTGGACATCTTGGAATGGTTCCTCAACTTCCACTTCCTCACCTACGTGAGGATCGACGAGTGCGCGAACCAGGAAGAGCGCCAGGTCTGTCTCACTAGCCTTCTTGCCCTTCCCAGATTTTGATTCTCGCAACGCTCCCCTGAGCACGCTCCCTGTTGGAGGAAGCCCGTTTGCACCCAGTGAGCAAACCCACACCTAGCATTCGGGTCTATAACCGAACAACCAAGTTGGAAGGGACCTCAGAGGCCGCCTAGTCCAACCCCATACCATTCTGGACGCACGGAAGTCCAGTCTCTTCTTGAAAACCTCCAGGGATGGACCACCCACACTTCTGGAGTTCCACTGATTAATTGTTCCTAACTCTCAGGGAATTCCTCCTTGGTTCTAGGTTGCTTCTCTCCTTGATTGGTTTCCATCCGTTGCGTCTTGTCCTGCCTTCAGGTGCTTTGGAGAGTAGCTTGACTCCCTCTTCCCTTTGGACAGCCCCCTCCCCCAAATAGTGCAAGACTGTTATCGTGTCACACTTAGTCTTTAACTTCCCTGGATGTTGAGACATACCCAGTTCCTTTCAACCTGTTTGTCATATGTTTTAGTTTGCGTCCAAAGCCAGCCACGGACTTAATTGGCTGTGGTGGGATTCAGCTTTTTTACTCCCGGTCCTGTGGGCGTGGCTTGGTGGGCATGGCAGGGGAAGGATATTGCAAAATCCCCACTCCCTCCCCACCCCACTAACCTGCCTTCCAGCTCCATTCTTCCTTTTTTTTGGTTTGGTAAAATTTTATTTTTATTTTTATATACAATAGATCCATTCCCTTTCAATCATACGCCGATTAGGTACATATTTCAATTACTTAACTATTATTAATAATATTCTTCTTATCAAACTTAACAATATAACAATAATCACATTCCCACGTATGTAGTATAAATGAGATCCAATATATCTTTTACATTAATTTCTCTTGTTGCTCTATGAATACATCTATTCCCTTTTAGTTTATTCGATTTTCTGTCCATTGATAAAACGCATCCCATCCCATATAATATTCAGATCCTTCTTTTTCTTTAATTTTTAGTAACCTGCTTTCCAGCTCTGTTCTCCTGTGCAGGGCCATAAAAGGAGACCCAGCTGATCAGCTGGGACTCAACGGGAGGCAGAGAAAAGATGGGGGCGGGGCCAGTCACAGGCGGTATTGGCCGGTTCTCCAAACTACTCAAAATTTCCGCTACTGGTTCTCCAGAACTGGTCAGAACCGGCTGAATACCACCTCTGTTTATTGGGCAAATCCAGCCAGTTTCACCTTATGGCCAATGAGAACGGGGCAGATCCTGTATTTGGGTTCTCCTTGTGAATTTCTGCAACCAGTGTGTTCTCTTCTCCCCATCAGGAGCTGATGAAAACCTTCAACCGAGACAAGCGGCTCTTCTGCGCCATCCTCTCCTCCCACAGCCGCTCCACCGGCGTCAACCTCGTGGAAGCTGACACTGTGGTCTTCTACGACAACGACTTAAACCCGGTGATGGAAGCCAAAGCTCAGGAGTGGTGCGATCGGATTGGCCGGTGCAAAGACATCCACATTTACAGGTGAGGCTGGTGAAAATGTGGAGACAACCCAAGAGGAAAGGGCGGGACTATAGCCCTATCCCCCTGCCCCCAAATCGCCTTCTTAATTCTTTATTTTGGATCCAATACAGGTAGTCCTCGACTTACAACCACAATTCAGCCCAAATTTTCTGTCCCTAAGTGAGACATTTGAGACATTTCTTAAGTGTGTTTTGCCCCCATTTCTACGATCTTTCTTGCCGCAAGTGACTGCAGTTGTTGAGTCATAACAAGGTTGTTAGGCCAATCTGGCTTCTTCACTGAGTTTGCTTGTTACAAGGTCACAAAAGGGGATCACGTGACCCCAGGACATGGCAGCCATCATAAATATGAGTCAATTGCCACGTGTCTGAATTTTGATCTCCCCCCCCCCCCCCATGACCATGGGGATGCTGCAGCTGTCATAAGTGTGAAAAACGGTTCATAAGTCACTTTTTTCAGTGGCGTCGTAACTTCGGATGGTCACTAAACCAACTATTGTAAAGTCGAGGACTGCCTGTGTTATCCGTGGCTCTCCTATTTTTCTCAGGCGCTGCCTGTGACCCCTTCTCTTAAAGCGACGCTTCCTCTCTGTTTTCTCTAGGCTAGTCAGTGGGAACTCGGTCGAAGAGAAACTCTTAAAAAACGGGACTAAGGATCTGATCCGAGAAGTAGCCGCTCAGGGAAATGACTACTCCATGGCCTTTTTAACGCAGGTATCTCCGGATTGAAAACGGCAGAAAAATTCTAACTTGGGGCATGTGGCTTTGGAAAAGTCTGACGACCAATACCTCAGAAGCCTCTGGAAATGAAGTGGTGTAGAAATAAAAAGATTCTCACACCAGCAGTTCGAAAGCATGCAAATGCGAGTAGATAAATAGGTACCACTTTGTTGGGAAGGCAAGAGGGGAGGAGGAAGAGGAGGAGGAGGAGGAAGGAGAGAATAGGAATGGAATGGAATGGAATAGAATAAGGAATGGAAGAATGGAATGGAGTGGAGTGGAATAGAAATAGGAATTGAAGAATGCAATGGAATAGAATAGGAATGGGAGTGGAATGGAAATGGAAATAGAAATAGAATAGAATAATGGAGTTTAAAGGGACTTGGAGGTCTTCTAGTCCAATCCCCTACTTAGACGGGAACATGAAACAGCGTTCCATGCTGGCCACGTGACCACAGAAAATGTCTTTGGACTACACTGGCTCCCTTGGCCAAGAAACGGAGACAAACCCAACCCCCTAGAGTCAGACACAAATGGACAGGGGCAACTTTTACCTTTACCTGAGAACCAAAGTAAGCAAACAAGGGACGTGAAGATGGACTAAGTCTTCCTTTCCCTTCCCTTCTCTCTGCAGCAAACCATTCAGGAACTGTTTGAAGTTCACTCACCCATGGAGGATTCGGGCTTCCGGGTGAAAGCCGAAGAATTTGTCATGCTGTCGCAAGAGCCGTCTCCCTCCGAAACCATCTCTCCCAAAGTGGCCAGGCCTTTCATAGAGGTAAGGAAAGGCGGAGCTCTTCAACGGAAGGCGTGGAGCATTTCCGTTTCGGATTGGCTGGTTGGGAGTTGAAATGCCGGAGCACACAGTTTCATTCTGAGTGCTATTTTCGACATACAAGCAGTCCTCGGCTTATGATGGGCTGCTTAGCGGCCCCTTGAACTCCTTCCTAGGGCTACTGATGCTCTGGTTCCGAAGTTCCAATGGCTGAAGCCCCCTTCAGTCATATGACCTCATTTTGGGGGGTTTGGCAACTGGTATTTATGGCTTGTAGAGTACTCGGGCCATCTGACATGAGTGACGTTGAGCTGGCCATGCCCACAGCTATCCCCCCAAGGTCAAACACAACCCCGATATGGCCCTCAATGAAATCGAGTTTGACATTCGTAGACATCCTGTCATTTTATTTGTTTACACTCTTTTCGTGTCTTTCTTCTAATGTTGTAAGCCACCTAGAGTTGGCCCCAAGGCGAGAGATAGGCGGCAAATAAATTGAACCAAGTTATCTGATCTACGCTATCAGTACAAGAGAGGTGGGGAAAAAAAGGCTGCCTTGTGTCTTCCGTAGGCTCTGAAAAGTACCGAACGAGAGGAAGAGGAGAAGGAGGAGCAAGAAGAGATGGAAGAGGATGAGGAGAAAGAGGAGTGGAACGTTCTGGATGGAAAGAGCGAGTCGGCGTGGAAACCTCTGGTTTCAGAACTCGGAAAGGCACAATATCTCGAGCAGCCTTCGCTGCTGCAGGAGCTGGTGGCCGTGGTCGATCAGGTGCGCTGGGTTCCCATCTGCATTTCCAATTCTGATCTGGGAAATGATGTTCTTCTGCTGTCCATGCGTGTGGTTTTTAATTAGTGAGGGGACTCCAGACTTCCAGTGGTGGCGCAGTGGTTAGAGTGCAGTACTGCAGGCTACTTCTGCTGACTGCAGTTTGGCAGTTCGAATCTCATCAGGCTCAAAGTTGACTCAGCCTTCCATCTTTCTGAGGTCGGTAAAATGAGGAGACCCAGATAGTTAGGGGCAAACGACTGGTTTTTATAAAACCCTAACAGTCCACTTGGAATACTCCAACCAATTTTGGTCCCCATACTACAAAAAAGAGGGTGAGACTTTGGAAAAAGTTCAGTGAAAAGCAACTAAGATGATCAAAGGCCTGGAGACTAAACTGTACGAAGTACGGCTGCGGGATTTGGGTCTGGCTAGTCTGGAGGAAAGAAGGACTCCTAGTGACATGATAGCAGTCTTCCCGTATTTGAGGGGCTGCCACAAAGAAGACGGTGGTCAAGCTATTCTCCAAAGCACCTGAGGGCAGGACAAGAAACAACGGATGGAAACTAATCATGGAGAGAAGCAACCTGGAATTAAGGGAGAAACTTCCTAACAGTGTGGACAATTAACCTGTGGAACAGCTTGCCACCAGAAGATGTAGGGATTTCATCACTGGAGATTTTTAAGAAGAAACTGGACAGTCACTTATCTGAAATTTTATAGGTTGTCCAGCTTCTGCAGGGGGCTGGACTGGAAGACCTCCAAGGTTCCTTCCAACTCATTTATTCAAATCCTGTAAAACCACTTAGAGAGGGCTGTAAAAGCACTGTGAAGCGGCATATAAGTCTAAGGGCTATTGCTATTCTACCTGAACCATTCCTTGCAGTTTTCTTGACATGATTCTGCAGTTTCCCTTGCTACCTTCTTCCAAAGATTAGGCAGAGGGACCGGCCTAAGATTCCCCCCCGCCCCCCCAAGCTGGCTTCAGGCCAAAGACAGAGCTAGAATTTCACAGTCTCCCAGTTTCTAGCCTGGGGCTTTAACCTGTACATCAGGAGTGTCCAACCTTGGCAACTTTAAGACTTGTAGACTTCAACTCCCAGAATTCCTCAGCCAGCAAAGCTGGCTGAGGAATTCTGGGAGTTGAAGTCCACAAGTCTTAAAGTTGCAAGGTTGGACGCCCCTGCTGTACACTAAATTGGCTCTCCATTTTTATGTCTTGCTTGCTTTTTTTTTTTAATTAATGCTTCTTATTCTCCCCAGCCAGCATCCCTGTTCTGTTCTGACTCAGAAAAACATATATGCGTCTTTTAAGATTGGGCTAGCGCTATCCAAAGATGCTTTTTCAAGAGGCTAGTATACTTTCTGGTTTTTATTTGAAGATGTTAGTCTTCTTATCCAAGAAGCTTTTTCAGCTCTGAAGCTCCTGATAAACCTCCAAGTGGCCTCAAGGACCCTCTAAAAGGATGCAAATGAGCGGCTGTCTGCAAGGAGCGTTAAATCCTTCCATTGCCCACCATCCAGCCAGAGCTGAAGAAGCTTCTTGGAGGAGAAGGGAAACATCTTCAAAGGAAAAAACAAGAAAGTCCAGTTGCCTCTTGAAAAACAAAAGGCATTTTGGGGACAACTGTGTCCCAGATGACTGAGAATCTCCATAGATATTTAGCGTTATCCAAGTTGTCCGATCCTTTGCTTTTTAGAAGAGTTGTGTCCCATTCAAAACTAAGCCCTTGTAGCTGAAGAAGAGATTTGTGTCCTCAGTTTGATAAACAGAGTGTGGCTCTGTTTACCAAGTGACACCAAATTAATGCAAACCAAGTTTTTTTTTTTTTTTAATATATCCTTATTGGCGTTTGGTTGCCTGCTCCAAAGGTTATTAATCTGTTGCCCATTAATATTTTAATTGGTCATGCTGTGGTTTCCCTTCCCTTTTCTTTTCCAGCTCACCCCCATTGAAAAGTATGCCTTGAACTATTTGGAATTCATTCACGTTTCTGCTGAGGAGAATGATTCCAAAGAAAATGAGGTAGGATCTGTTTACTTACTTAGGTGCATCCTGCCGTTATTATTTTTACGAATAACTCAAGGCGGCAAACGTACCCAACACACCTTCCTCCTATTTTTCCCACAATCACAACCCTATAATGAGAAAGTGGGACTGTTCTAAAGTCGCCCAGCTGGCTTTCATGGTTAAGGCGGGACTAGAACTCCCCGTCTCCTGGTGATTTGCTCAAAGTCACCCAGC